GGGGGGGGGGGGGGGTGGCACTGAGGGGAGGGCCATGTGAAAGGGGTGGGGCCATTGCAAGGTGATTTTTAGAACCTGTTCCCATGTCTGTCTAGAGCGTTATCTGAGGGCACAAGACAGAACTCTGGACAAATTGGTGTGTCCTCCCTTTGGTGCCACTTCCTGGGCCTTTTGGGGCAGTGGGGAGCAGCGGATGAGAATTTCAAGCTGGGGTCCTTGGAGCTGTACCTGGGCTGGCCTGAGCGTCAACATGAGCAGGCGGTCACCCAGGGCCTGGAGTGACCAGCTCCTTTGCTTCCTCCCTCAGGTCAAAGTGTGGTTCCAGAACCGAAGGATGAAGTGGAAGCGTGTAAAAGGGGGTCAGCCCATCTCCCCCAATGGGCAGGACCCCGAGGATGGGGACTCTGCAGCCTCTCCAAGTTCAGAGTGAGATTCTCCATGGAGAAAAGAAGACTGAGGACTGAGCCCCCTCCCCAACCACCCCCACCTCAATTCTGCCTTCACCTGTTCCCCACCCACTCCAGGGCAGCCTCTCCACATCTTGCATTGACTCTCGGATATGAAGCTGCCCCATGTTTCTGGGAGCCTTGACATTTCCCAGAATGTTCTGTCCAACATTGCTCTATCTTAGCAGCCCCTTCCAGAGGGCCTGTGCTTCCCACACTCCCATGGAATCATACGACGATCCTACCAGACCAGAGGAATCTGGGAAACAGCTCCAGGGCATTGCTTCTCAGGGTCTCTTGGCTGCTGCCCACACATCCTCCTACCACCTTCCTCCTGCACCAGCCAGGCCTCCTCCAGGTCTGGACACCACCTGGCCTGCTGGAAGAGGAGGCTGAGAACCAGCTGGGGACTGGTGAAAACAAATACTCCAAAAGAAAGGAAATGACTGAGACACACATCCCCTGGCCCACATCTCCTCTCTGGGCTCTGGGGTTGTCCCAAAACCCCAGAGAATATCATTGTGAGGAGGATTAAGGATAGCAACTCAGCTGCTGCAAATCAGAAATCCATCCCTGTCTCCAAATTTGTTGGCTGTTAAGTGGGCAAATTTCTGAGCATTGTCTGGGAGAAGATGGTTAGAGAAGTGGCCTGGTGTAGGTCTCTGTGTCTCCATACAGGCCCGTTCACACTGGCTTGACTGGGTAGATGAGAATGAACCAGGACAGCACCTGCTTCTTCAAAATCAGTTCAGGAAAACAGCGGGACTGTTGAGCAGCGCTCCAGAGAAGGGAAGCAGCTATTCCTTTTGAATCCACAGTTTCTGGATTGACAACCTCTCCAGATGCTCACATGATTGAGTCAAGGGCTGGAAAGTGGCCCCTGTGTTCTGGGGATGGGGATATAGTATGAGGGCTGCTGGGTGAGGGTCTAGAGAAGTGGAACCCTGGAGTGGAAGGTTCTCTGGCTTCATTGTCCTGTGATCTCAAAGGACTCTGATTGCAGATAGGGACAGGAAAACAGTCCCTCTTCCTCCATGGGTGTATTTTAGCCCCTCCTATGTGTTTTGCAAATGCTGTTATTGTGGAAGGAACTGCTGGGTTTGTGTGTGGACTGCTCAGACCTCAGCCAGGTCTTCTGGGGATGCCATTTGAGGACTTGGAAAAAGACTCCCCTGCCGGCCTCAGTGTTCTATCTCCCGATACCAGCTGTTGTTGCAGAGGGGGGGTCTGCAAGAGTTTTAATCTCTTGTATGCAGACTTAATCATTCAAGTGTAAAAATAACCCCACCTCAGACCCCAAAATGGACAAAAGCTGTGGAAAATGATTGCCAAATGAGATGGCTGGTTAGAGCATTTAAAAGTTTTTTCTAAAGCATACTTCATATATTTTCTTAAGATTACATCAAGCTAACTGTGGTCAATTCACTTTGTAAGAAAACTCTTGGAGAAATAAAATCAATAAAAAAAGCAAAGTTTCCAGGCCTTTTTCTTTGCAGTGCTAAGAACCACAGCCCTTGGATGCAATCTTCTGATTCTCATGTGATGATTGCCCAGACAATGTCTAGAAGAAACAAGAAAAAGGGAAAGAAATCATCTCGACCAAGCTATCCCCCTTTAGGTTTCAAAAGTGGGTGCAAATATAATCACCGCAAAAAAAAAAAATCTGTTTTCCCATGCAAACGCATTGTCTTCATTTCCCATTCTAAGAGTTTAGCTCTCAGTTCGTCTAACTTATGACTTATCAAACAGTCAAATTTCTGTAAACAAAAAATGAACTCTTTTGTTAGTAAAGGAATTATATTAGTCCGTTTCTGTTGCTTATAACAAAATACCTGGAACTGGGTGATTTGTAAGAAAACGAAATTTAT